AAAAAGATAGAAAAACATGTATCAACACTCTCCCTCAAGCTGAAGCATATAGATTATATGCACCAAGCTTGGAACAAATGAACTGAATTCTAAGACCTCTCAAGGATTTAGTTAAAATGTTCGTCAGTTGTTCATTGGAGCTTACAAATTCAGTTACAGGTTCTTTAGACACTAACTTTTCTCTAACAAAGGGACAATCAATCTCAATATGCTTTGTTCTTTCATGAAAGACTGAGTTGGAGGCAATATGGAGAGTTGTCTGATTATCACAAAACAACTTCATTTGCCCATTATCACAAAATTTTAATTCTTGAAGGAGTTGTTTGATCCACACAAGTTCACATGTAGCAAGTGCCATAGATCTATACTCAGCTTCTGTACTAGATCAAGCAATAACATTTTACTTTTTACTCTTCCAAGAAATCAAATTTCCTCCAATAAAGATACAATACCCAGTAGTAGATCTTCTATCAATGGGACAATCAGCCCAATCTGCATCACAATAACCTAGAATTTGAGTATTATCCGTATCTTCATATAACAATCCTTGTCTTGGAGCCCCTTTAACGTATCTCAAAATGCGAATCAAGGCATCCCAATGATCAGTACAAGGATTTTGCATAAATTGGCTAACTACTCCAACTGCATAAGAAAGATCAGGTCGGATAATAGTAAAATAAATGAGTTTACCAATCAACCTCCTGTATCTTTTTGGGTTTGACAACTTTTCTCATTTATCTCCCACAAATTTCTTATTTGGGTCCATTGGGGAATCAATGGGTTTACAATTTGTTTAACCTGTCTCCTTCAAAATATCAAGATCATACTTCCTTTGAGAGATGATCACACTTTCCTTTGAGTGAGCCACTTCAATACCAAGGAAATACTTCAATTGACCAAGATCTTTGGTTTGGAAGTGAGTAAATAGATAATTCTTCAGTTGGTTGATCTTAGTATAATCATTGTTTGTAAAAACAATATCATCAACATAAACCATAAGATACACATACTTGCCTGAAGAAGAATGACAATAAAACACTAAGTGAGCTGCTTCACTCCTTTTCAAGACAAACAACTGTACAATATGATTGAATTTCCCAAACCAAGCTCGAGGTGATTGCTTTAAGCCATAAAGAGACCAGTATAGCTTGCACACTAAACCAGACTCCCCCTGAGCAACAAAGCCATATAATAAATCTCTTTCTCAAGGTCACCATGAAGAAAAATATTTTTAATGTCCAGTTGGTGAAGGGGTCAATGATGAATAACAGCCATAGCAAGGAAAAGATGAATAGTGGAAATCTTAGTTACTGAAGAGAAGATATCACAATAGTCAAGGCCATAAATTTGAGTGTAGTCTTTAGATACTAGATGAGCTTTAAGATGATCCACTTTACCATTATTATCAATTATGACTGCATAGACCCATCTATAGTTTATAGCCTTTTTGCCAGGAGGAAGAGGGACAAGCTCCCAAGTGCCATTGTGCTCAAGAGCCTGCATTTCATCAATCATGGCTTGTCGTCATCCACGGTGATCAAGAGCCTCATGGACAATATTAGGAATAGTGGTGTAAGCCAAAGAGACAACAAAAGAGGAATAGGAAAGAGACAAACGATGGTAACTTAAAAAGTTATAAATAAGAAAAAGATTCCGAGAGGAACAAATGCCTTTTTGTGAGTACAATAGGTCATCCATAATCAGAAATGGGAGAGGAGGTCGAAGCATCCTTGGTATGAGAAGTTGATGGAGAAGGTTCTGAATCACGATTATCTGCACAATCTGGTAAAGGTGTAGGTGGGGTTCTGCAGTGATATGTAAGAAGAGGGGGAGAATCATTGAGACCTGTATGTTGAATTGGTGAAAGATCAAGTATTATAAGTGGATCACATGAGGATATAGGAAGAATATTTTAAATAGAGGAACCATCCTCCATGAGCGAAGAAAAGAAGGATGTTTCTTTAAAGAAGGTGACATCAGTAGTTATGTAATACCTTTTGATGGATGGAGAATAACATTTGTATCCTTTTTGGAGGCGAGAGTACCCTAAAAAGACACATTTAATGGCTTTAACACTTAACTTATTAAGACTTGGAGAGACATTATGTATAAAACAGGTACAACCAAATACATGAGGAGACACATGATAAAGAGGATCATCTGGAAAGATAAGGGAATGAAAAATTTGATTTTGAAGAGAAGAAGATGGCATGCGATTGATCAGAAAACTAGCAGTGAGAACTGCATCTCCTCGATGATGAACAGGAACATTGACATTCAACATTAGAGAGAGTGAGGTCTCAATAAGATGCCTACTTTTCCTTTCTGCAATACCATTTTGCTGTGGAGTGTGAGGTCAAATTGACTGATGTAAAATGCCTTGGAAAGATAAAAAAGAAGAGAAGGAGGCTGAAAAATATTCTTTAGCATTATCACTTCTAAGAACTTTAATTATCTTCCCAAATTGATTTTTAATTTCATTGAAGGACATAAAAATGGACAAAATTTCAGATCTGTCTTTCATTAAATAAACCCACTTACATCTGGAAAATTCATCAATAAAGGTTACAAAATAGCGGAAGCCAAATGAAGAGACACGACTTGGTCCCCAAACATCAGAATGGATATTTGAAAAGGAAAATTACATTGAGTTTCAGAGTGTTTAGAAAAGGTAGACCTAACATATTTTCTTAATTGGCAAGATTCACATTCTAAATCCCGAAGATGTTTGAGATTATGAGTCATTATTTTCAATTTTGGTAAACTTGGGTGACCCAGACGATCATGCAAAAGTTTAGGAGCAGGAGAAACAAGACATGACACCGAAGGACTTGGATTTAGATAGTACAGACCATGTGATTCATGTCCTTCTCCAATCAAACGACCTGTACCATTCTTGAATAACAAAAGAATTGGAATTAAAGGCTACAGAACAATTCAAAGAACGAGTCAATTGACTTAGAGAAATCAAGTTATAAGGGTAATTAGGAATGAAAAGGATAGAATTTAAATTCAAAGAAGGGGTTAAAGGAACATGACCAATTCCTTGTGACTTTACTTTAGATCCATGAACCACAATAATCAGATGAAGAATTTTTGGATAGAACATGGAGGAAAATGAGGAACTGTTACCAGATATATAATCAAAGGCACTTGAATCAAGAATCCATGGGTTTTGACCTTCCTCAGATTGAGAAATGCATACGGTTGAAACACTAGACATGGAAGAAGATTGACCTTGGTTGTTGAATTTTCCTGATTTGAACTTTAAAAATTCTTGATACTCCTCATCAGAGATTTTCATATCCATTTTTTCAGACTTAGAAACATGGACAGTGGTATTTCTGTCAAGAAAATCGTGTAAGGAATAACAGTTTTTTTGCGTGTGCCCCATCTTCTTGCAATAGGAACATTGAAGACGACCATTTGTATTCTCATGTCCTCCTTGACTGTTACGTCATCCTCCTCGACTACGAGGAGCAACCATAACTGAAGTTTCAACTGTCTTCACCTGATTCTCATCTGTCATAAGATTGGGAACTCAAATCAGTCTCGTGACAAGATTATCCATTGAAGGAACTTGATCACCGGCTAAGATTTGATCACGTACATGATCAAAATCAGAGTGTAGACTCCTTAAAATTAGGACCACATACAACTTATCCAGTTTGGAGTTTAGCTCCTCTAAGGTATTTGTCACAAGAAACCTTTTTAATTCCTCCACAACAACCTTAGTTTTTGCAATGTGAGACATCATGTCATGATTTGTCTGTTTGAGAGACGTTACTCTTTGAGTTACATCAAAGAGACGATGAATATCGTTAGCAAAAATGTCTTAAGCCTTTTTCCAAAATGAAGAGCAGATTTTGAATGACCTCAAGAACCTCAGATTCCACATACTGCCATAATATTGCACAAAGCTGGAAGTCTATTTTCTCTTACTGAGATCTCTTTGAGGGAGAAATAGATTTCACATCTTTCTCCAGATGGTCATGATACCCCTGACCTAGAAACCATAGTTCAACTGATGCAGACCAGGATAGATAATTTTTCCAGTTGAGTTTGACATTGGTTATGGTGGGAGTAACAGAAAAAGAAAAAACACTAGATGAAGCCATTTATCTAAAACAGAGGTGAAAGATAAACCTAACTAATAGGGTACCCATGTGACCTAGCTTCCAAAGTTCTTAAAACAGAAAAATAAGGGCACCACTGGACTTGGAGGGTGCTTGCGAGTTTATCAGTGGTAATCGGCCTTGATTCCAACCACTGGAGATGGCACGTGGGACACACGCGCCTGGGAGCTCCGCCTGGAGAAGTTGCGCATGGGGCCGCAGACAGAGGAGCGATTGGCAGGGGTGGGTTGCACTCTTTGAGGTGCACCAAACCGTACCTTCACTAGACCAAATTGAGATGGTGGCCGGCGGTGAACGGCAATGAACAGTGGTTGGAGATGACAGGGATGACCAGACCAACTTGAGAAACTTATTTAGGGTTTTAACAGTGTCTAAAGGCACTGTTACATTGTATTTATAAATAAAGGAGATACAACAGAGAGGATATGAACCTCAGCTCAAACCCTTAACCCTAGTCTAAGGAACATACACACAAAATACAAAAAGATAGAAAAACAACATATCTCAACAAAGGTTAACGTAATTTTCCATGTATTTTTATTAAATCTTTAACTAGTTCATTGTATTTTGAAGACTCTAATTAAATCCTTATATATAGTTTTAAAATTCTATAACTAAATCCTCAAAATTAATGCAGTTAAAACTCATTATATATTGCTATCATGATATTTTTTACGTGACAATCTCTTGCCTATTTTTATTCCATGCCCATCCACCCCTCCTCCATTCATGTATATTCATATTTCTAATTCATCTTGCAATAGCTTAGTCACGCTGTTCAGGCTAAACATTACGTTCTTATATTAAAAGTTATGGTAATGGTGATTCTATTGATCTTTTTTAAAATGCTATTTTCTTGAGCAGATGGAAAAACTTGAGAGAGAAATCAGAGAGTCTAAATTTGCAGAGCTGATGAATAAACATTTTGCAGCAAGTTCTATTCCTAAAGGGATTCATTGTCTGTCTTTACGTCTGACTGATGAGTATTCATCAAATGCTCATGCACGCAAACAATTGCCTCCTCCAGAGTTGCTTCCTTTACTGTCCGACAATTCATACCACCATTTTATTCTGTCAACTGATAACATCTTGGCTGCTTCAGTAGTCGTTACTTCAACTGTCCAGTCATCTGTGAAACCTGAGAAGATAGTCTTCCATGTGATCACTGATAAAAAAACTTATGCGGGTATGCACTCATGGTTTGCCCTGAATCCAGTCACCCCTGCTGTAGTCGAAATCAAAGGAATTCACCAATTTGATTGGTTGACTAGAGAGAATGTCCCAGTACTTGAAGCTGTAGAAAATCAAAATGGGATCAGGAATTACTACCATGGGAATCATGTTGCGGGAGCCAATCTGAGTGATACTAGTCCACGTAAATTTGCATCTAAATTACAGGCCAGAAGTCCAAAGTACATATCTTTACTCAACCATCTGCGCATATACTTACCAGAGGTAAATTGCATTCATGACAATGATCACTCTATTCTCTTTCTCTATGTGTGTTGGACACTCATTATATATCGTTGATACTTAAGCCATGATTTACAAAAAGTATGATAATGCAATTCATTGGCTTTTGTTATTTATTTTTATCTTGTGTTCTATTTGATTTTGTATGTTGAATTGAATGTAACAACAAGAAATGGATAATTACCCTAAAAGAAGAAAGGAACAATTGACTGGTCACTGAAGCTGAACATTTTCCTATAAAACTCTGCATTGTACTTCCATGTATGCTTTTCTGAACTGAATTTGTAATGGTAAAAGTGCCTATGAGCACTGAATGCCTCTGAACATTTTACAAACTATAGTAAATTAAGAGAACGTAAAAATATGTTCTGTAGACTAAATTCAAGCCAAATGTCTGTCTATTCTGCCTAAGCTGCTTCTAGGAATTTATAGAACATAATATGATTGAACACAAGTAAAAAATAAAAGAAAGCCAACTGAAGTGAGACAAAGCAGTTCTGTGGAATACGACAGTTAAAACTGTTAGGTGGTAAAGTAGTTGAAAGGGACAGTATCAAAACCTTGGCTTAAATAGAGTGGAAAATGCAGAAGAAGGGCATTCTGAATTGTTAGTATTGGAGATCCGAACATCAGCTCAATTGTAAAAGGGAAACCCTTGGAAGTTGCATTATGTCCCTTTTTTTGTTAAGATTCAATATATTCTTCCAAATTGTATATTTTCTCTATTTTTCAGTGCTATGAATAGAGTGATGAGCACAAGGGGAACTCATCCCTAAAAACTAATTTGTTAAGGGGGGAGAACCAAGCTCTTAAGTCAACTACTGAACATCTCATAGTAATTTATGTGAGACTCCCCCATACGAAGTCCCTACCATAGCATAGTCTTCAAAAAGAAGTTTTGTCTGCTCACCGATCGGAAGCCTATGTGGGTGATCCTTTTTGAAACACTATCAACTGACTCTGATACCAATGGATAATCACCCAAACACTTAGGAAACTCACCCTTAATAGCTAGATGTCAATTGCCGAAAGCCAAACACTTAAATATTTCATGAAGCATCCCATAGTACTTGATGTGAGACTTAGGCATCCCATAATACCGAAGTCCCTACCTATCATAGAGAAATGCTCCCCTCTCTCCCCTCACTTGTTGATAGCTCAAATAGATAATTACTGACTTTAAATTGCTTTTGCATTGTGTGACTTTCATGAGAATTCAGAACTTACACACCAATCACAGCTAAGATTGCTAAATTATTTTTTAAATAGAAAAATATTCTTTGTTATTGTTGTAATTCTCTTTTGAACATAAATTGTATTCTGTTTAATGTATTTGTACTGATTATGTTTGTCTTCTATGTCAAACAGCTATTCCCAAACCTTGACAAGGTGGTTTTTTTGGATGATGATGTGGTAATTCAGCGTGACTTGTCTCCTCTTTGGGAAATTGACCTGGAAGGAAAAGTTAATGGAGCTGTGGAAACTTGCAGAGGTGAAGACGACTGGGTAATGTCTAAGCATTTTAGGAACTACTTCAATTTTTCTCATCCCCTCATTGCAAGGAATTTGGATCCTGATGAGTGTGCATGGGCTTATGGAATGAATATCTTTGATCTGGTTGCTTGGAGAAGAACTAATATAAAAGACACGTATCATTCTTGGTTGAAAGAGGTAAAAGTCCAAATAATTTCTGACTAATAATTTTAGTTTTTCAAAACACTAAATTATTCTTTGATTTTCATTACTTTGAGGTTCATAGAAAATCAACACATTACTATAAACTAATGTTGTGCGGCAACTGATTAAGTGGCTTAAACATCTACATGGTCAATAAGGGGACCTTTTGTTTCCTTCGGTTTCTGTTCTTGTTGAACCCTCTTGGGAAAATGAACAACGGGGGGAGGGGGGTATTGGGAATTCTTGGGGTCTGCAATTTTTCTGTTACACCAAATAATATATTTATTGACAACTTCACTATGGCAGAATCTGAAGTCTAACCTGACAATGTGGAAGCTTGGAACCCTGCCTCCTGCTTTGATTGCATTTAAAGGTCTTGTTCACCCAATTGATCCCTCTTGGCACATGCTTGGATTGGGTTATCAGAATAATACCAGTATTGAGAGTGTGAAAAAGGCTGCTGTTATTCACTACAATGGCCAGTCAAAACCTTGGTTGCAAATTGGCTTTGAACATCTTCGGCCATTTTGGACCAAGTATGTCAATTATTCTAATGATTTTTTGAGGAACTGTCATATCCTGGAATCATAGTCTGCCAGTGAGGAGCACAATGTTCTGTACAACAATGAATATGAAAGGGACGAGTAATACAGGTTTCATCTAAATTTTTGCAGCTTGAAATTTTCTTCAAGATGAATTTGACGAGGCAAATATAAATTTGGTTGAGAGGGCAAAGTGATAAAAAACACTGGCTGGATTTGCTTCTATTCCCTACAATTTTTACATATGACATCTCCATCCCCGCACGGCCTTAAAGAATCATTTGGGTCCTTGAGTTGTGACAGAGAAACACATCCTCTATTTTTGGTTTGTGAAAGGATATACTATTATTGGTCTTCTATGGGACAAATATAACAAAGATTCCATAGTTGATTATTGGAGAATAAACTGGATGCTGGAGATAAAAAAGTCAGGCATGTTTCATCAATCTATTTGGTGTTGAGAACACAAGTGCTAGGACAGTTAATTTGTGAGGTTCCCCCCTCTAGAGCAGCATTTTTACCCTTCATTTTTTAGTTTCTTAATTTTTGTTAGTACCATTTTTTTACCTTCACCTGCTTTGATTTGATATCATGATGGTGAATTCTAGGAGTAGTTCATGAGATTGCTTCGTTACGGATTCATTGAATCGGGGAACTGTTTGTAGGATATATATATATATATATATATACACACACATATATATATGTATATCTATATATATTGTTATTCATTATGTACTATTACCAGACATTGGAAATGTGCAGAAAATTCATTTTCTCTTTTCTCCATCTTGCAATGCCTGGTCATAATCGTACTCAATTTTTGTGCCTCAAGCTTTCACAACTTTGTTAGTGCACAATATTCCTCTGTTCCCTGCCAGAGGCATAATGAGCAAAATTAAAATGGAAAATATTTTGGAAGTAAAATGCGAGTTACATGTAAACAAAAGCTTGGCCATTTTTTTGGTAAGAAATATTCAGACGCTTTAATCATATTCGTTAAGAAAATGAAAGAGAAAAAGGCTTTATACGACTCCTTTTGACATCAGTGGAGGGTTATTAGGGTGATGGGGTAGATGACTTCAGGTAGAGCCAGAGGTGTAGATGCATAAGTTGTGTGGGGTTAAAGGTCAGTACTGGTGTTGATTTGTCACATGCTGCATGTTAATCTGTCAATTATTCATTAGTTTCCCTTTTACGTAGGATACTAATCTTTGTAGTTTATAAACTTATTCCTTACTTTCTTCTCACTGTCTTCCTCCTTCTCTTTCACACAACTTTCCTTCTGCTTCTGCACTAATCTCCCAAATATTTTACATGTGAGAGGGAGGTCGCACTAGAAAGCTTTGTAAGTCTGAAAAACAGCTCTGATCAATGCTATACATCCATGGAATTAAAGTTGAACTAGATAGCTTACCATTAATTTTTTTAACCTGATTTTAAAGGGTATATTTCTATCAAACTGATTAGTATTTGTTGTTTGGGACAATATTTAATCATTGTACTTTAGTTATTTTTAGTACTGAGTTTAGTATTGACTTTTGTTTGCTCTAATATTCATTACTATTAACTTTTATATTGCAAATTATCAAGGCAATTAGAAAATGAAAATTGTTTAAAATATCGTGTCAAAGTTTTGTAGTTCTCGTCATGCTAACAAATTTTGAAGACACAGTTACTCCATTAATAATAAACTTTGTTTTTATGATAGTAATTATAGTCAGATAAAATTGTGAAATGTCTAAAGTATATTAAATATAATTTAAATTATATTCTCATAGCATTTGTTTGATTTTAGAAGTGGTTTAATTTTCATTAATGATTGTACAAATGATATATATTTTTATAAATTGAACAATTCGTTTTAAATATCATCATTACCTACATAAAAAAATTATGGATATTGAAACAAGCCTCTCATTGAAAAAAGTCCAAATAATTAATTAACATGTACGTAGATGTAGTTCTACAAATTATGATAAAATACAAAAGAGAAGAATCACGTGAAACGACTTTGATAAGTTGATGATGACATGGTTTCCAATTAAAACTGTTTTCACATTCTTCATAGCTCCCAACCAAATTTCACCTTACTGTGGTGCCTTCAAATTGCACTAAGGATCTTAATTTGTAAGACTTTTCAAACAAAATATTATGTCTCTTTCTGCGTTTTCTCTTTATCTCAGATTTGTCCATTAATCAATAATTTGGGTGAATGATTGAAATTTGACAAGCGTCACATAGTACTGTCTCTACATAACAAGTGTCAATTCATCAAAATCTTATGTGAAACACAATGAAAGATTCTTTAGCCATGAAAGAGAAAGGAAATAACCATTACTATTACTGGATAAGAACCTCATATATTAGAACTTCATAGCATGTAGAAGATGGACCACAAGTTTATCCATATCTACTATATTAGTTTTATTGTTTATATAATAATAAATTTATCTACAAAATAAACTATTTGTAGCTTTGTACTCTCTTTAATTAATAAAGGTTGATGTGTTATCATCGTTGATGCAGAGTTTTTCACACCATAAATCAAATAACAAGTCCATATACGATTAGTGTTTTTTTTTTTTTTTTAATAACAACTAGAACAGTGTATATATTCGACATGAAACAATTTTTTTTTTTAAATAGAAAAAAAAAGAGGGTGTGCATGGCAATAAAAATTGACGCTGAAGATGTGTGCGGACCTGCATAAATGTACAAAATCTCAACAAGTAATTGATTGGGTGTAGTTTGAACATTTTGCTTATTACTTTTAATGTGTTTATCAAAAATTGTTTGGATTTGTGAATCAAGGGAGTCCTATGGTGATTTTTGGTAGGTAGAGAACAACAATTATGAGATCTCAGTGGTGGTCATTGCAACAACTTTTCTGTCTCATACCACCATTAATGTTTGTTTACAATAATTCCTCCTATTCTTAATATACCATATTAATTGAAAATTTAAATATTATGTCTGATTAATAATAAGAATATTTATAGTAATGAATTTTTTCTTCATACATACTTATGTCATAAAAATCCAAACATTACGATGCTTCTGTGCCAAAATTTTGTAAATTATCTGTTAATTTTTTTTTTTTTATGTTTGTCTTTTTCGGCAGAATGTAATATGTTAAGTAATAACACAAAACAATAGTTAATAAAAAATTGTGTATTATAAACCAAACCTTCTCATAAATAAGCGAAACAAACTAATATTAATTCGTTCTATTTTATCCTGTCTAGTATTTATATATAAAAAATAGGTTGAAACAAAGTGACTTTATTTTATTAAATTGTTTTGCATAATTACATTCATTTTATATTTTAATGTTTTTCTTCGTATTTTTGTAAATAATTCTTTAAAAACTGATTCAAACATGTTTTACATAAATTATTGTAAGCATTTCATTTTTATATAGTATTTGAACAAATGTAAACATATGTTTAGTGTTTAAAATGTAAAATATAAAATATAAAAATCGCCTACAATATATATAGTAAGACTTTTTAAGGATTAATACTACTGTTTATAAGATTCTAATATATATTATGAGCTCAATATTTATTTACTGTAATCATAATTTTTTTATTATATTATTTAATTACAAATTATAATAGACTCACTTGATTCTTAGGTAAGTGTTATCAAGATCCACTTATAAAAAAACCTTTGTATCGTGAGAATATTTAAATATTTTATATTCATATTATTTATGTTACTCTGAATCTTTATTTTTTAATCTAAAAAGACTCTTGAAAGTACTTGATTATAATATTTTAATCTAAAAAATCTCTACTAAATCAATGTTTGTGATCAAACAAGTTGCATGTATGCACTGTACTTTATTTATTTTATTAATAACAAGTATTGTAAAAAAAAAATTATATCATATGATCCATCATGACCATTTCTCCATTTTCATTTTCCAGAGTTTTGGGAGGTTAGGAAGAAGAAAAGGCAAAAAAAGAAATAAAGAAAGGAGTGATTGACCAAACCAAAGATTTAAAGGACTTGGAAAATTCCGGAGCAGCCTTGTTCCTTGTTCCCTTATTTCATCTTTTTCATCCCTTTCAACATTTTTTTTAATTATTATTATTATTATTATTATTATTATTATTATTAACATTATTATTATTTCTCTCCAAAAACTAACCAACCAAAACAAAATAAAGCATCCACATCTACTTTCCCTTCATCTTCTTCTTCATCTTCTGTTGGGTTTTCCCAAAAGTGAAAAGCCAATTCACCCTTCAGATCAGTGACATACATACCCATCTCCGAACCTCACATCGTCAAAAACTCAGGTTTTTCCATAATCTGTTCTCTTTTCTTTCTTTTTTTCAATCCTTGCTTGTTCTGTAGGCGACCCAGTTGAAAATTCGAGATTTTTTTTCATTTTTGATGCGTACCCATTTCAAGATTGGATCTCTTCTTGATTTAGCTGTTTGAAATTTCTGTATTTTTGGCTGATGATAGTGTGTTGAATTATGCTATGATGTTGGATTTCAATCATTTCATTGCCTTTGTTTGCATATTTGTTTTTATTTTGTGAGAAGATGTATCCATCTCACTTATTCACAATTTCTTCGTTCATATTCTTATTAAACAATATTTTTTTTAAGAATTTTTCAGACCTCTCCCAACTTTTCCATGATATATCTAGATTCCCATGCCAGATTCTGCACATTAAGTGAGTATGGATGTGTGCATGAGCGGACTCTAACTCAACCTTTTGTTTTGTGTCTGATTTTTGCAGAACTCACAAGATTGGCTTTGAATGAAATCCCGTTTTTCACTGATGAAACTTAGCTGAATGAAGTGATTTAGTGAAAAGCCTATTTTTCATAGTATTTGAGGTACGACGGAAGCTGTAATATTTGTTTTAACTGCACGAGTCGTTGGATCTCCGAACATGGCTGGGAATCAAGATCAGTTTGAGATCAAGTTTCGGTTGACAGATGGTTCTGATATTGGCCCCAAAAGTTTTCCTGCAGCTACTAGTATTGCAACATTAAAGGAGAGTGTTCTTGCTCAGTGGCCAAAAGGTTACTTGTGTTCCTGTTGTTTTTTCCTTTTTGTTTCTCTTTTTGGTCTTCTGGTTTAAAAGCTAAACTACCATGTGAGAACTGAGAAGACGTAGTATTATTCCTGTGCTGCGAGGAAGTTTGTGCTATAAATTAAGAGACTGATGGCTTGGTTGGACGGATTGGAAAATATGGTGATAGAGGGTGCAGGAATATTTGTGTGGGTTTTATTATTTCGGTTATAAAAATGTGCCAAGTCCTGGTATTGTCCTGGTATTGAAGGCATCTTTGGAGTTTATAAATTGTGAAAGTATCTAAGGTGACAAGACCTGTATAACATCCTTAAATTAAAAAAATGTGGGAACTCTTGGTATAAGTCCCATTTTTTTATGCTTCATTATCAAGGAGTATCACCCCGTCTAACACGGGAAATAATCTCACTTGGGAGTTTGATAGACACTGAGTAGGTGGACATTCCCTCCCAGCTTGATTATAGGTCCCTAGTTTATTAGTTTCTTTCTTAAACATTAATTTCTTCTTCTCTCATAATGTGCTGCATGACTTGATCAGGATTGATGCCTATCAAGTTTTAGCAGTGTATTCACAAAAAGATAATGTGTTGTATTATTTTATTATATCTTCAAACTGAAACTTTCTAAACTTTAGGTTTTCTTTATTACTCGGTAGTTTTTCAAGAGGATGTTTGTAGCTCAGTGTCCATGATGCCATTGTACATTGTTTATGGATATCATCTGATGTGTGTAAACATATTATTTATATACTTATACTGAGATCCAAGCTACCATTTTCCATGATTCTCCACAACTTTTTGGGATATTATAAGATATATGTAAAATGACGTTTTCTAAAGTAATATGGAAATTTAGTTGTATTTCATGTCGGTAGCAAGAATAAAAATGATATTTTAAGCACATTGTGTGGTGAATTCTGATGTTTTCCATATTGGTTTAATATATTGTGAGCTTCATGCTAAATTTTTGCCATGTGTTTTGTAACATATGAGATTTGTAAATTTGTGTTTTTGTTTTGAAGACAAGGAGAATTGCCCAAGGACCATAAAAGATGTGAAGTTGATTAGTGCAGGAAAAATATTGGAGAACAACAGAACAGTTGGGGAATGCCAGAGCCCATTATGTGATACCCCTGATACAGTTACGACAATGCATGTGGTTGTCCAACATCCTGCTACAGAGAAAGGTCTTTTTTTTTGTATTTATTAGAGATATGCCAAAATCTAGTTTGTATTTTTTTTAGTAAGCAGTTTTTAAAAATTTTGGCTGGGATAAGGTTTAAGTTTTTTTTTCACTCACTTCCGCCAAAAATGCCTTCTTATTTTCACTTTCTTACTATTAGAAATAGTTAAATTCCTTTCTGTCGTAATTTTCAAATGGGCTTGTGGTTAATCACTTTAAGAAAGATCACTTACATTGGTGACTATTGGATTTGGCTTTGGTAAAATACTTCTACTATTCTACATAATTTTATATAATAAAAGTATTTGTAGAAATTATAGGGTTTTGGGTATAGGGAGAGGAACAAAAGATTAAAGAAACTAAATTCACTGAAATATTGGGCCAAGCTTCTTTAGAAAAATGCTTTTGTGATATAAGTTTTATATCGATTTTTAGAAACAACTCTTTCTTGCTTAAGAGAAATCCACTGAAGTTGTTTTTGTTTGGCCTTTACCCTTTTTTATTTCTGAATAACCCAATTAAAATATCTTAAAAAATTGCCTTATTTTAACCTAAAAAATGTTTTCCTCTTGCGAGAAGCATAAACAAATGGGTCCTTAATGTCTATCAAAGTACTAGCTGTTCTAATCCAATTTTCAGACTCATCTTGTGTCGGACAACGACAGTCACTATCTGCTTGATAATACAAATAAAAGGGTAGTCCTTCCTGGAAATTTTTTGACAAATAGAAACTGAGAGATAAATTTTTTTTAGTAGGTACTTAATAAACTAGAAGGACATCTGTGGGAATGAGTTTTTTAATCATCAGTTACTATCACTTCAAGAACCAAACTAACCTCTTGCATATAAATGAAAAACTGCTGCTACTCTGTTTGACTGATTTTGTTTTCATTCAGTTTTGGTGCTTTATCTGGTACTTACTGAAAATTTAGTCTTTTTACCTGTTACAGAGAAGAAAGCTGCAAGCAAAGCAACACAAAACAAATGCATGTGTATTATCTTATAGCATTCAGATTGAATAGCAGATGTCATCTATCTTAGATGGTTAGGGACACTTCATTTTTACGTAACCTGCGGCGTTGAAGATTTCAAATATACAAATTATTTGGTTGCATGTCTCATTCATACTACAGGCAAAGAGTACTGTACTGTTTACTTAAAAAAAAAAAAGCATTTCACTTGGTGAAGATTGTGAAACTAGTAGTTCCCTGATTCCTCCACGGCTCTATATTACAATTTGATAGGAGATGTTCTTCTGCTGGTCTCAACATGTATTAGGTGTTGCCTCATCAGGCACTTGTTATATTGAAATGAACTATACTAGTTTGCCATCTTGGACCTCATATATACTTTACAATTCCTCTCGCATCTGTCTGATACAACATGCTTCCAGACATGTATGTTTTGAACAGTTGAATGTGTTTTAATTTGCTTGTTATTTATATGGTACCCTTGCCACTCTTGTATAGCAGTTTTGGGAATAGTTGTTTGACCACACACATCTCTTACAAAATGGAGATTTGATGCTCGAATAGAATCTCCTTACCTTCTTTTATATTTTATACTGTAGAAAAGAAAAATTCTTGCCATGCAGTTACATACATTTTCTTCTTGGGGAACTTTGAAGGCCTTGATTTTACACCATTCTTATTTTACCACGATATAGGCAATATTATCTTTCCAAAATTATAGGCCTACAGAAAAAAATATTCTTGTAATAGGCCTCCCATAAATATAATGAAAGTTATCTTTACTATTAAGAGAGATGTTCATTTCTTAAAACATCCTAATTTCTTACTGCCTGAGGTTGTAATTGAAACCTTATGCTCCTAATCTTGGAGTAATATCTCATGCTTCAAATAACAAAGTTTGTCCGTTCATAAATAGGGTTGGACAGTAATTATATCCTTGCTTTTTCAAAGTTGGGTCTGGGTCTAAATTGATTCAAATCCTAATGCATTGGTAATGAGTGAGTTTGTCATGCACATGATCAAAAGGGATGAGAAGACCCATGTGAAAACATTTAAAAAGCCTTAGATATCACAATTTTCTTAAAGGTTTAAATTTGTGTAGAATAGGCTTTTGGGTATGGACTTTGAATGATTAAGCTAAATAACTTATAAACAAAAGAAAATATCATTTTATGATTCAAGTCAACCAGCTTTTTTTATACAGTGTATAATAAGGGAAAAAAATCGGTGGAAAACTCTTAGCATTAATATTAAGAGAAATATAAGAAGAAAAAAGAAATACGTGAATAAGCAGCGTATGCCATTTTCTATCAACGAGTGTTAAAACACACACTATAATTAGTGATATGATGGTAATGTTATGTAAGTTGTCAATCAAAGAAAGAAATATCCAATTGATAAAAAAGACAACTTCAAAAAATTAAAAAATTTCTTAAAACTTTTAAATAAATTGTACAGTTGTGGCAAAATACATTGAAATATGAGACTCACATTTAAGATAAATTTCTCGTAAAAACTATATTTTTTTTATTGCAAATTATAAGCACTGTAAGGGTTTTTACACATAAAATTAAAATAACGATTAAGGTTTTCATACATAAATGAAACTAATAATAAATATATAATTTTTTGTATCTAAGGCTTTTTTTTTAATTTATATCTTTTGTGTTTCAAATTATACTATTTTTGTTAAAATATTAATTACAATTTTTAATAAAAATAATGAAATAATCCTACCGGATAAAAAAAAAAAAAAAAAAGGGAGATGAAATTGGATTTTATTCACAATTATAGGGAGGATAAGGTAGGAAGAAGAAAGAAACTTTTACATGTGAAATTTGATGTGATAATGGAAGTCATTTTCAGAGTAAAAGCAGAGAGCTCGAGAGGGAGCATGAACATAATATGATCGATCGTATCAAAACCACACTCCACGTGGTGAATCGCTGCAAATCCAAACAAAACAGCATTTCACGAACCTCCCAGAATCCTCTTCTCTCACTCCATTCCATTTCCATTTCCATTCCTTTCCAACACCCTCTTTTACGTTCCAATTTCTGTTACAATTACATAACACACTTTCTCTTTTCTCTCTGTTTCTCTTTTTCTTTTCTCAATACCCACGCAACGCAAAGTTCCTTCTTCGTTTTTCCCTTCTTTAATTCTCCACTCTCATTCCCTCTTCCCACTCTCTCTTTCCTCAACGCTCTCTTCCTCCTCGCCAATGGCCTCCACTACGTCGTTTTCTCTCTCCCACGTCGCTGTCCCCTTCTCCTGCAACACTAATCGTGCTCGTTTTTCCCACCGCCATTGTCCCTCCTTCGCTAAACCCATTTCCCTTAATCCCCTCCAATCGCTCCCCTTCAACAAAAAGCATCCTTTTGCAAATGGGTTTCGGTCAATTCGGAGAAATTCCTCACGTTTCACCGTTCGTTCTGAAGCTGCTAGTGGAAGGGTAACACGTCCTAAATAAATAGATAACGCTTTTGCTTCTACTTCATTCATTTCCTTTCCTTTCGAAACATGCAATGACCATGATTGAGTTAAGTTCAGAATTTTAGGAGAAACTTTTTTAACTAGGTCCAGTTGGCTAAACTACTATATTAGCACTTTTAGAAAAATGAAACAAGGATGCGAAATGAATTAAGCTCAGTTTACAACCATTGAAGGATATTAACTTTAGGTAATTGAGAGAACATTTGTAAAAGTTGGAGTCAATAAGTTAATTTTAAATTATGGGATTTAAATTTATTTCATCTTTTTGTTTCTTAATCTAAAATTATTTCTCGAATAATCTATCCAGATCTGAAGAACTATTTAAAACTTTTCTATTCACCAAATTGCCTGTGTTTGAAAACATGGTAGAGAGGAGAGATAGTTGAAAGAAAAGATAACATTGACTGAATGGATAAAAGTGGTTCAAAATTGAGCTTCTATGTAGTAGCAGAGAAGCACACAATTAACATCTAACTAACTAAATTCAACCATTTAACTATGTTTGGTAATTTTGTCGTCGTAATTAGAAGTTTGAATGTTTGTGAGTTTGGGTGGTTTTGGAGCATGTTGAGTTGGTGAAGTGCTTGATCTCGAGGTTTTGATGCAATGGCAGATTACGCAGCAAGAATTCACAGAGATGGCGTGGCAGGCGATAGTTTCGTCCCCGGAGGTGGCCAAAGAGAACAAACATCAGATTGTGGAGACAGAGCACTTGATGAAGGCATTGTTAGAGCAGAAGAATGGGCTTGCTCGCAGGATCTTTTCCAAGGTTGGGGTGGATAACACTCGTCTTCTAGAGGCTACTGATAAGTACATTCAGCGGCAACCCAAGGTGATTCACAGATTCAAATAAGATTGAATTGAAACATGAGCTTTTATATTTTGTTGTCTGGTTGAGTTTAATTGCCAGTTATTTCTTCCGCTAACCCCAGACGTTTAACCAATGTTGAATTATGTTAGGTTCTTGGGGAATCATCTGGTTCAATGTTGGGGCGTGATTTGGAGGCATTGATTCAGAGAGCCAGGGACCACAAGAAAAAGTTCGAGGATTCATTTGTTTCGGTTGAGCACTTGGTTCTTGCTTTTACCCAAGATCAGCGATTTGGGAAGCAATTGTTTAGAGATTTTCAAATATCTGAGCCGGCTCTAAAATCTGCAATAGAGTCCATTAGGGGACCTCAGTCAGTTATTGATCAAGGTAGTTATATTTTCCATTACTATGTGTTGTCTTCTTTTTATCTTCTTCTTACCTCTTTTCTTTTGGAGGAAGAAGGCTAGGTAGAGATTTTAGTTGTTATATTGAAGAGAGTATTGAGGACCACTGTATTCCTGTTCTTAATTTTTTTTTCCATGATTTTGACTGTACGCTGCAAATGATTGTCAACTTTTTATTGCTTAAGCCTGATTTAAGTTTCTATACAGATCCTGAAGGGAAGTATGAAGCCTTGGAAAAATATGGAAAAGATTTAACTGCAATGGCAAAAGCTGGAAAACTTGACCCAGTCATAGGAAGGGATGATGAAATACGCAGATGCATCCAAATTCTCTCCAGAAGGACAAAGAACAATCCTGTGCTGATTGGTGAGCCTGGTGTTGGAAAGACTGCCATTTCTGAAGGGTAAGCCCTTAGACCTTTTATCCTTCATTGCCTATGATTGATAACATTTCCATTTATTGAATTTCATTTTGTTAAAATCCTTTGGCATTTAGAATTAAGCTTAACTAGTTGATACCAATATTGGCTGGCCTTAATTAGGTAAGTTTTTTAAATGGTTTCATAGAGGCTGCTCAAGTGACATTTTTAATGATGACTTTTTTCCCTTTAGTGGTATAAATTAGAATGGATACAACAATTTGTCTCAGTTGTATAATCATTGTTCAGTTCTTAGTGTGAATATGAACACCTTTCAAAATGCATTTAGCCAAATCTAACACAGATTTTTCTGCTAACTTTATTGGTAAACAATCAGGTTAACTAATTTATTATTCTTGCTTGCATCTTATTTGGGTGCTTTTGTTAATGTTCCTTTCTTTGTTCTGTTTATTGATATAATTCTTCCTTTGAAACAGACTCGCTCAGAGAATAGTGCAAGGGGATGTTCCTCAAGCTTTGATGAACCGTAGGGTATGTGCTTTATCCAAATGCTTTGGCTATTCCTGATAGATAGAGCTGTAAATTAATAGAACTGATTTTGAAGTTTCTATTCTCATTTTCAATTTCACTATGATAATCTCTATGACTCTATTCTATCTTCTTCCACCCTAGTTTAACTGTCATTTTCTAAAGTAAAATGTCATTTTTCTCTTTTTGGAAGTTTGTATATTGTCCAGGAATTGTAAACTTTATATTTTTGCACTGGTTTCTCTCCAGCTTATATCTCTTGATATGGGTGCACTGATTGCTGGAGCTAAGTACCGGGGAGAATTTGAAGATAGGCTGAAAGCCGTACTTAAAGAAGTTACAGAATCTGATGGTCAGACTATCCTTTTCATTGACGAGATTCATACAGTCGTTGGGGCAGGTAATAAGCTGGAAACT